TGCTCAATAAAAAGTAAAAATAAAAGCCATGAGCTAGGACAAGGGATTTGCAGTGTGTGTTACTTGAAATGAGGCTCTAAAACTCCTAAGTAAACTAGTGCAAATCAATAAGGAACAGGTGAACGAAAGAGGTGAACAGGCCACTCACAGAAAAGCAAACCCGAAAGGAATTTTATATACCTGGAAAACATGATCAGATTTACTAGAATCAGGCAAACACATCATAAACGTCATAAAACAATGAGATTCTAGATCACACTCATCGTATCAACAAAAATTGATTCCCCTCAAAATATTCCCAGCAATATCAAATCAATAAAACAGCGTATCTATCTCCAAACACGCATCGTTCTTGCCACCTTCTAAAATAGTTCTGGAAATCCTGTTTTTTGTCTTTTACAAGGTTTAATCAAGGTCTGGGAATATAGCTCAGTGGCATAAGCACTTGCCTGGCAAGCGCAAGGTCGTGAGTTCAATCCTCGGTACCACAAAAAAAAAAAAAAAAAAAAAAAGTTTAATCACAAATACAGTAAATAACAATTCCGAATGCCATCCAACAGGAAGGCAGGCTCATAAAAACATGACAGTGTCCTCATCTACCTTATTCCCTGTGTCCGGCATTGTGTGCCTTCTGGCTCTCTCCCAATGTCAAAGTGACCGTGAAAGGGAAACGTTTTGGATTGATTCTGAACCTTGCGGCAGCAGCCAGGACAGTGCAACTGAAGACATTACGAAAGAGGATTCCAGAGCTGCTTCAGAAAGAGACAGGAATGATGATAAGCGGGTTCAAAGCAAGCAGGGTCGGAGGGGGATATTGAGGGAGATTAATAGCAGTGTGTCTTTTACTCCAATAATTTTTGTAAACATTCACCATATTTTTCTAACCGCCTCATATATTTGCTTAAAGAAAGCTCACACGTATACAAAAGAGACAATTATAAAAATGTTTATTGCAGCATTTTGTATCAAAAATGAAAATCATCTGAACATAATATAATTCCACAACACAATATTATATAGAGATGAAAATGAAGGAACTAGCACTGCTTCTCAACATGGGAAAATTCCAAAGCCACAAAAACTGAAAAGAGTAGCAATATAATGTGACGGTGTGAAGCCACTTGAGAAAGCTTGGAAAATGGAAAGCAATAGCATGATTAACCACAGAATCCTATGTAATGATGTGGAAACATGCACAGGAAAGAACAGGAGCAATCAGGACAGTGAGAGGGTGACAGGAGGGGACCAGGATTAGGGAGTGTATTGAGGGGGCATCCAAAATGCTTTGACATTGTCTCCGCTTTGAAATCAGAATCAAATGGGGCAAAATGTTAGGAATCCTCGCAGCTGGGACGTGCTCACACGCAGCTTGTCTGCTATTCTCTGACACTCTCCCATAGGTTGCAATGTTTTATAATCCAAAAAAAAAAAATTTTAAATGCTTCCAAGCTACACCCTGAATTTGACAGCAATCTGAAACCTGAGTGTACCTTGAAAGCAACTTTTAATAAAATTACAGGAAAAAAAAATACAGACTAAAACCGCTAATCCATTATGCATAGTGCCTGCCACACCTCACCCACCCCACCCCCGCCCCGCCCCAGCAACAGAAAAGCAGATTAACGGTGAAATCCAGTACACCACCGCCGCTCTGGGGAGAAAAACACTAATAAAATTCACAAAAGAAGAGAAGCAAGCAAGGGCAGCTTGCATTAATTATATCTGAAGGTGCAGCTGAACCTGCTCTTGTTGGACATGCTTGACACAGAAAGAAAGGACAGTAAATGTACATAAACACCACAGAAAAGTGAAGGAAGGGGAAAAAGAAGGAATTGTGCAAAACATAGAAAGAAGCTAGTCTGGGAGAACACAGACTCTAGTGCACCAAAAGCATTCACCATAAATGATTTATGCCACAAGAAACCAGGACAAAATCAGCCAAGAAGGGACATGTGGAGCGACTCAGAGATTGAACGAGATTTGAAAGGGAACTTGTGGAGTTCAGAAAACACGGGATAACCCAACACCTCTGCGCAATGAATAAATAACAGAAGCAGCAAGAGGCAGAACAGACCAAGAGGCAAACTTAAATAGTAACACTGGCTTCAGATAATTACAGAGACCAGAGGCGACATGAAAACACACCAAAACTGAGACAACAAACATGTTGATCCTCCTATTCCAAGGACGCTGCTGCGGCTGAAAAGTATTGCTGGTATACCTGCTACTGTATTTCCAGGGTTTTGTTTTTTTTTTCCCTGAATCAAAACTCTTTGCAAACAATCAGTTCTAGGGACAGGCAGGAAATCACATTAAGTGGCCAAGGGATAGAGAAGAGGAGCTCACGCTTTGAAGGTACTTTCTCCCTGGCAGGTCTGGGTCTGGGTACTAGGGCTGGGTGACAAGGGGTGGCCTGCCTGCTGTCCTCAGACCTTTTCATGACATCCAGGAGTAAACATGGCATCCAGGCCAGACTGAGCCAGGCTGTAGTACTGTCTGGGTACTGAGAGTAGTCCTGGCTTGGTGGACAACAGCTGGGGAGATGGGGTAACTGGCACATAGCATTTAACTTTTATGAGCAAGTGACATCGGACTCACAGGATGAGAGGCCATCAGTGCTTCAGGATTCAGGCTGGTGAAACACCTTTTTGGCAATGACCTTTAAAACTGAGTTATTACTCTGCTATAAAGGAGGATAAACTTGAGTCAGTCATGGGAAAATGGATGCAACTTGAGACCATAAGGTTAAGTGAAATAAATCAGACATGTACGCTTAAATATTGCACGATTTCTTTTGGATGAGAAACCCAAAATATAAAGAGCAAAATAAAAAGACAGATGATAGGAAACAGGGAGACAGACCTTTGCAAAAGGGAAGGGGACCAAGTGATGGAAGGAGAGGAGGAGAAGGGGACATAAAAAAAGGCTGATGTGTTACACACATGCAACACCTCCCCACAATGGATGTCACCATGGATACTGCAAATGTGGACTAATATTAAATTTTTTAAAGTTATCTTTTGAAGTACAATAAAGCTAGTTTTTTCCTTTTGTCCATGCCTCATTCCTTGATCAAAAATAATAGTGTACAACACAGTACAGTGTTTGGTACCTAACGGGCAAGTAATCATAATAGCAGAAGCACCTGTAACTTATGGAGCACTTACATCTCACTCTGCACTGCTCCATGGCCTCACATACAGGAAACCAGTTGCGCCTCGTGCCCACCCATGAAACAAGTGCTGTTTGTATCTCTGGTTTCAGTGGAGGAAACAGAAGCATAGAGAAATGAAGCAACTTCCCCAAGGTCACAAAACTGGCAGAGCTGACATCTGCACCCAGGTGTCTGACCCTAGTTCTTTTATCTCTTTTTAAATATTTAGGAAATGGGGCGAAATTAATGACCAGCTACTTTGTTCACCCAGCTTGGTCCCAAATGACTTCTAGCTCTTTGTCTTCCACTGAGGATGTGAGATGATCTTCAAAATTAGATATAAAAATTCTGGTTGAGCCAGGCATGGTAGCTCACACTTGTAATCCTGGCATTCTGGGAGGCTGGGGCAAGAGGATCCCAAGTTTAAGCACAGCCCGGCAATTTAGTGACTCAGTGAGACCCTGTCTCAAAATGAAAAGTGTTAAAAGGGCTGGGAGTATAGCTCAAGGCAAAGGTCCTGGGTTCAATTCATGTACTGCCACCAAAAAAAAAAAAAAAAATTGATTGATTGATTTATCACTGAGTCTTATTGCAGGATATCTTTATCTCTTCATCCTGGTTTTCAAATAATCACCAGGTTAATTTTTCAAAATCCCTCTTACCCACGCATTCACTTAGTGTCTTCAGATGTTGGCTCAACTAACTCCTTTCTTTCACAGGAGGAAAATCATTGTGTAAACACATAAGGGGGCACCCCCAAAGCCTAGGGGAGCCCCATCCTCAGCCTCGGGCAAGCAAGATGAGACTGGAATCAGGAGGACCAGGAAAGGAGCAGAGGGCGGGAGTGGGGAGCCACAGGACAAAGGTCCAGGGCAGGCCAGCAGTGAGACTGTGAGCTCCCAAGGGCTGCTGGTTTTCAAAGCCGCAGAAGCCCGAATTCAGGACCAGAACCCAGTTGTGACAAAAACCGTAGTTGAAATCCAGTCACAAGCCCTGTCAAAAGGACTGGCATGCAAGGAGGCACAAGGAGCTCCCCAGGGTACAAGTGTCCGGCTCAGAGCCCAAGGCCAAGTCCATGACCAGGAGCCCCTGAAGCTCTCCCAGGATGCTCTGGCTGGCCTGAGCTAGAACTGCCTGGTGCCTGCTGTCTCGGACAGGGACTGAGTGAGGAGGGCCGTGCTCCAGAGTCCCTGCCGAAGCATGAGGACCATCACCACTCGGGGATGCCTGGCCACACAGCGGAATCCACAGCAGCGAGCACCTCAGAGGTCCTTACATGTTCAGAGCGCCAACCTGGGAATCTTGCGAAAGAAAGGGTTCCATGTCCGGAAGAACCCTTGCCAAAACACCACTGCCTGTGTCAAGTTTTTGGGTACAGAGCATTGGGAACACAAACACTCTGAGACGCTCTCAGGAGTTGACCTTAAGCGCCTCACATTTGGCTCCTCCTTGAACATCAAATTGCGCTTATTTTTTCATTTACCTTAAGGAGAAAACTTTGTTTGATGATCTGACAGGAAAAGAATTAAAGAAGATAGAAAACAGGCCTGAATGCATATGCAATCCAGTCCTTAAAGGAAAGACCTTAAATCTTCTTTCTCTTTGAAATTGAATTTGTATGTTGGAGGCACCTGTTTTAAAGAGGAAATCTTTTTTTCTGGAGCAGGGGCTCAAATCCAGGGCCTCATGCTAGGCAAATGCTATATACCACTGGGCTACCTCCCCAGCCCAAGGCTATGTAATTTAAATGAAATACTTTATAACGTATAAGCAATGATGGGAAACCTTTTAGAGCTTTTCTTGATAAAAGCAGCCCGCTGCAGCACGTGTGACATAGGTTCGTCACCGCTGCGTATAAGGGTGGGTCCAACCAGCCTGCGTTTACCACCATCAGTAAAATACCCCAAACACGCAAGGGAGCTGCTACCACCCACGGCCCTGTCCTTAAATTCTCCTCCTTCATCTCTCTGACCCAAGACAAAGGAAACAGGAGGTAACATTAATATTTTAAAAGGCTGCTGCATACAGTCAAAGATTTTTTTAAAGCTTGGCATGCTCGTCTGAAGGAAGGGTAAAAAATAGTTTTATTCAGTTTTCTATTATTTGGAAGCCGAATTTACGCATTAAAAGTTAGAAATCTATACAAAAAGTGAAACAGAAACAGGACAGGGGAAAATCACTGGAATACAAATACTTTCTGCACTTATTTACTATGCAGATTATACCAGAGTGTATGTGTGTACACAGATATTGTCAAAAAATAACAATAATAATAATAATGCTGATGACCAAATTAAGGCACCTTGCTTTTTGAAAAGTAAAGGACCACCTCCTTTCTGGTCCTGGTCGGACACAGACGACACGGCTGCTGTCCCTGGCCAGGGAGAGACGGATTTGCCCCCTCAGGGCCCATCCCCCTCACTCCCACACTCTGCAAGAGCTGCCTGCCGCGGGGTGCTCCGAGTGTATTCTCTTTTCAAGATTTGGTTATCCTTTCAAACCGAGTAATGCCTGCACCAGATGTCCATTCTCTAACCCGACGCTTGCGCGCTGCCCACCCAGGAACACACTTCCTCCCGTGTGGGTGAGCAGTAGCGAGACTTTACCCACGGATACATTGTTACACCAAGTTCGATGACATCTGCCCTGTAACCATCTTCTCCTTCACCCAAACAAGAAAGGACACAGGGAAGCAAGCCTGCAGCGCGGGGTCCCCGGGGCGCGCCGCTGTCACCTGCTCCCGCCCCGCCACCCGCGTGGCCCCGCACCCGCTTCCCCGCGTCCCTCGCCCCGTCCTTACCGCGCGCGAGCATCCTGCGCGGCCCGGCCGGCTGCACGCCGCCCCAGCTCAGAGCCGCATCCCGGCCGCAGAGGAGGGCGCAGGGCAGTGCTCCCGGCGCTGTCCAGGCCCTGGATGGGTCTGCGCTCCGCTCCGCAGTTGGGGGTGGGAGGAGCCGCGATGCGCACGGGGAATCTGATAGGCGCGGGGCTGGGGGCGGGGCGGCGCGGGGGCGGGGCTGCGATCCCACCGCGGCCTGGCGCCCACGGGAGGAGCCGGGAATTGTGCGCCCCGGCCGCCCGGAGAGCATCCCTCACCCAGCCCCGGACAAGCTGGGCGGTGGAACCTGCGCAGATCCCCTAGGCCGGTTCTGGGAGTTCGCTGTCCTCCCAGGGACAGAAGTTAACTTTGAAACCAGCCGCTCCCTCGCACGGAAGGGAGGGGACCGGACGCCTCCGAAGGCGCTGCCCTCCCCTTGCCTCTTGCAGTGGGTCAAAGTCGGTAAGGCCTCTGCAACCCTCTCTGAACACGGGATGAAGTGGGCACGGTTACCTACTTTTACAGATGGGGAAACAGGCCCAGAGAGGTTCTCCTGACCAGTCATCCTCAGGGGGAGCCCGGATTGAATAAAATAAACTGCAGGAGTGGACAGTGGCCGGTAATGCCCACTGGACCCCACCTTTCTCTGGCAGGAAAAACAACTATATATGTGCCTACCTTAATGTGCATAAATATGCATGCGTGTTTTTAAGAGTTGGATATTTATTATCTAATCCTTGGGAACCAACCCCGGCTGCACAGTTAAAAACCCTGGAGAGCTGTGAAAATTCGCAGCACTCGGTGGCTGCCCCAAGCCCAGGGCACCTGACTTGCATTCTATAATCCCCCCGTTTCCCACGGCCTCAGAACCGCGCTGGCCCTCTCTTCCCCGCCGGAACTGTGCTCTTTCGGAGCAGAGATGAAGTGAGCTCGCGGGGCTGGCGGGGAGCAGCGTCCAGATCGCAGACGCTGCGGGATCATTTTGGAGAAAGGACGAGGCCCCGGAAAGCGGGGAGCTGTGGATGGGAGGCAGGGGGAGCTGCAAAGCAAGCGTCTGACGAGAGGGAACAGGGCGAGATCAAATCGGATTATTAAACTCCCACTCGGTCTCCTGGGGTAACCGAGCAGGCCTGGCGCACTCGCGGCTCAGCAGAGCCAGGCGGGACGCGGGGTGAAGGAGATGCAGCTGCCGCCTGGCACAGCCCGGGGGCCCCTCCCACAAGCCTCTGTCAGCCGCTGTCGTTGCCTCGCCGCGGCGCTGCGGGTGACCCAGCCTCAGACCGCTAAGGGACTGTGACACGAGGTGGGTGGAGGAGCAGGACCCAGGGAAAGAGGCCTGGGAGGACGAGTGTGAGGGTCCTGCAGACAGCGGGTCTCAGGGGCACAGCAGGCTGGCGTGGAGGGGTGAGGGCCACTGCACAGGGACGGGCTTGGAGCTGCGCGCGGAAGGGGAAGACAGCGCACGCAGACGGCGCGGCGCGGAGAGGTCCTACCAGCAGCGTTTACCTGCCGGGACTCAGCGTGACCATGCGGAAAACAAGCTCAGCGCGAAGGGAAGGGCGGGCAGGGCGACGCGTGTGCCGGAACCGCTTGGCCGAGTGAGCGTCTGCAGACGAGCCGGCTTGGCTGTGGCCCTCGGAAAGTGAAGCATCCTGACCTGACCCAGGGCTCATGTTTTAAGGTTCTGACCTGCTCTTGGCCAAACAGTAAGGGAGCCCAGGCGGGGGCTGCTCTGTCCCCGCCGTTCAGATGGGTCTCCCCGTGAGCCATGAGAACGGTGCCTGTCCTGCGTCCCCCGCCCTGCGCAGACAGGCCCCAGCGCTGTGGCCAAGCTGTGCTGCGCCCAGGGTCGTGGAGTCCACGCGCCAGCTCTCCACGGAGCCCGCCTGCCCCAGAGGAGGACCTTGTCCTGCGCATGACGAGGGGCTAGCAGCAGCCCCATCCCTGCACCCACAGTGCCAGGCACACACAGGCTGTGACAAACAAAAGTGTCCCCAGATTTTCCAGACGTCCTATGGGGAAGAAAACTGCCCCCAGATGATAAGTGCTGTTCTAGTGGAAAGGACGGGGCTCGGTGCTCCCACAGATAGCACAGAAAACCCCTATCCATGACTGCTGCGGGAACAGGACCAGGCCGCAGGACAAGCCCTGGTCACAATCCTTTGCTCTCACCCAGGGTCACACTGTCTCCTGTGCTGCTGGCCCTGGGCCCACCCATCCCCACCTCAGGAGCCCCCGTGCACCTATTCCAAGTGTAGGGGTTTGTGGCTCTGCCTCTGGCTCCCCCCAGATCTCTGCTGTCTCCACCACCACTTCCGGACACGTGTCTGACGCACCCACGCACCCACACCTCCTCGCTGTCCTCCCTCTGCAGGGGTCCAGTCCTGATCTGAGTGTGTCTCCCAAGGGCTCCTGTGTTGGAAGCTGGGTCCCTGGTGTAGTGGTCTTCAGAAGGGATGGACCTTACGAGGTGGTGCTTAGTGCAAGAGGATTAAGACAAGGGTGATGTGATTTCCATGGGAGCCCACAAGGTGCTGCTGAGAATGCTGTTATAAAAGCAGGAGGCCCTGCCCCCGCTGTGCTCTCTGGATTCCTGTCTTGCCATGTGATCTGTCACCCATGCACTCCCACCATGTCATCATGTGTCAAAGGATGTGACACAGCTGGGGCAGGGCCCTCACCCAATATGAAATTGATGGTGTCACCTTATCCTGAGCCTTAGTTCCAAACCTATAAGCTACATAAACCTCTCTTCTTTATAAAGCACACAGCCTCAGGTGTTTTGTTAAAGCAATGGAAAACAACCAAATGCATCCTCTGTCCTACTCGTGCAGTGCTGCTGCTTAACTTAGGGGCTGACACCTGTTTCTCTGCACTGTCTTCCTTCCCAGATGAGACTCCAGGGTGCTCATCCCACCACAGGCCTTACCTGGCACATTGTTAGGGTTTATATCTGGATGTCCCCAAAGCATCCTACGCTCATAGGTGGAGCTTTGGGGTAGATGATTGGCTTATAGGATGAACAGCTGACTTGCACTAGGAGGTAGAGTCTGGTTGGAAGGGGTAGATCATTGGGCTGTCTTAGTTACTTTTTTCTTGTTGCTGAGACAAAATACCTAACACCCAAAATTAAGGAAGGAAAGGTTTATTTAGCTCACAGTTTGCAGAGGTTTCAGTCTGTAAGCAGCTGGCTCCACAGCAAGGTGATGTGGCAGGGGGCAGCAGAAGATACAAAAGCAACAAGAGCAGAAAGGAGAGGAGAAAGCCTCTTTTCCTCCCTTACAATGTATGCAGGCTACCCGCCCTAGGGCTAGTGCAGCGTTCACACCCCCAGTCCCAACACTAGACAGTGAATTAATCACAAACTCTAGATTTCACTGCCTGGGAAAATCCCACCCCTCCATGACCATGTGAGGCTTTGGGGAGAGGTCCAGACACAAATCATAATGGGGTGTGGCCTGGAAAGGTTACATCTCCCTCCCCATTTCCTCCCTTGACTCTCCCTGCTTCCTGTTCTCATGCCCTGGGCAGCTTTTCCTCTGCCTTAGAGCCAGCTGACTATGGCCTGAAATGTGAGCCAGAACAAACCTCTCCTCCCTTAAGTTGTGGGTGTCAAGTGTTTTGTTCCAGCAACAAGAAAAAGATCTGAGACACACACAGTGAGCACAGAGCAATATCCGTGGGGTTGGTGGATGAGGAAAAGACCACCTGGCATCCATTGTGGGGCTGCTGTAAGGACGGAGACACCCAGGCTCTGTGCATAGCATGGGAGGCACCAGCCCTTCTGAGTCCAGAACCTAGCTGGAGCCATCCTCATGGCTAGGACAGTCCCAGGGGCCTTCATATGAATTTAGGAAGGATCCAAGGTTCTGTGAGGCCTGGAAAATGGTTTTCCGGGGAAGCCACTATCCTAGTTAGCGTGACTCAGCCTGGAAGGCTTCGCAGCCCCGTAACAGTTTCCTGAAACATGAAAATAAGCTCTGTGGGGAGCAGATGAATGGTCATGGGAATGGAGAGTTGGTGCCTCTGCTCAGAGGCCCTGGGCTTGTGCCACAGAGGCATGGTCACTGTCTTGGGCCCTGATGAGGGGCACCGCTCTTCCATCTGGGGACGCCATGCCCATGTGGGCTGACCCCACTGCCATGGGCAAGCTGACCTTTCCCCATCTGGGAGCGGGTGGTCTTTGGTGGGGCTACAGAGGTCAACTGTGACCTCCCCATTTCTAGGGGACTCAGAAACATGGGCTGAGTCAACTGGGACTGCTACAGACAGCAAGACTGGGCAGGGAGGTGGGACCCCTGCTGTGCAGGTGACAAAGGCACTCACACCCAGAACGGGCTACAAAGGGAAGGCTCCTTGGGAATGGAGATGCTGTGTTGGATGGTCCCTGTGGGAAATGAGCTTCCAGCTATAAGGCCACAGGGCCCAGGAGCCAGAATATACACATGCATCCATATGCATATTTTGTATTTTCATTTATTTTGGAATTATTCCAAAATAGTGCAACTTTAAGGCACTCTGGAAATCCAAGGACACTTAGAGAATGACCACCAGCCCCAGCGGTTGGGGGGGCTGGCTACTCAGGCTGAGCTGCTGTCACAGCACCCCAGCCTTCCCCCAGGGCTGTGCTCTTCCTGAGGTCTCCAGGGAGCTCTATAAAGTTTTTGGAAATTAAATTGCCCCCACAATCTTCAGGACAGGATTCTCAGCTGGGGGGCGGGGCACAAAGAGGTGGGGCCAGGAAGAGCTTGGCCCCGTTGGCCCTGTCACCTTCTTGCTGTCTAAGCTGGCTGTACCCCTTAGTTTCCTTGTCTACACAGTGGAGATGGACACGGGCATTGTAAGGGTGATGGAAGAGGATACAAACACAGGCTGGGGGCACCTGTGTTGCCCTGTACTTCTATTTTGGTAGCATGTGACAGTTCTCAGGCATTTCCTGTTTCTTTTCACTTCTGCCTGTCTTGCTAGATGGTTTCCTGTAGGCAAGGTTGGGGTTTATCTTACTGATTTGGTTTCCTCAGCACTGACCACAATACCTGAGATACACCAAGCACTTAAGACAGGTGTCGAGTGAATAAATGAATT